GATCAGTGTCTCAGTTACCCAGCATTGGAGAAAGTTCATCATGCAGAGACCCATACAGGACAAGTCACTGAGATTCCTCAATGAGATGCCTTTATCAAGCCCCTTCCTCCAGGGTTCAGGGAGCTATGCTGAAGACGACATGGAAAGAGTCCATGAGCCAGTGAGGACAGAAGATGCAAAAGAAACAATCCACTCCAGACTCAACAGCACTGAAGCTCATATGAATTCAGAGACACAATGGTAATAGACACAAGGCCTGCACAGGGTAAAGACAGATGGTTTCCAGCATAGAAAAGGAACATAGACACTACTATGGGCCTGTAAGTTGAAGATGGATGCCCCAACGATACAGAAGAACTTTTCTTGTCTGTCCAGGCAGCCAGATGTCTCTATCAATTCTAGAGTTTTAGAAGTTGTGTATAATGCACTTTCTGTTTACTTAGGTAATATTATATCCTTCTGCAGTCTTTGATGGAGCTGAAGAATTTATAGTTATAGTTTTGCTTAGTTAAGATAAAGTAGATATAAGTATTGTAACTTCAATTCTTGGTTGATAACTGTTTTGTTATGTGTAATTTTACTATGTTAAAGCCTTCCTTTTCATTTAAACAGAAAAGGGGAAATGGTATAGGATGTCCTTCTAGTCATGTGTTGTTTTCATTGTTTAATGAATAAAGAAACTGCCTTGGCCTAGTTGATAGCTCATAACTTAGGTTGGTAGGGAAGACAGAACTGAATGCTGGGAGGAAGAAAGGCAGAATAGGAAAGAGACACCATGGTTCTGCCAGAGACAAACATGCCAAATCTTTCCCAGTAAGCCAATGCCACATGGTGATAAACAGAAATGGGTTAAACTAAGATGTCAGAGTTAGCCAATAAGAAGTTAGAGCTAATGGGTCAAGCCATGTTTTAATTAATACAGTGTCTGTGTGGTTATTTCAGGTAGAAGCTGGCGGGGCAGCCGGGACAAACAAGCAGACCCCTCCTTGTAACACATGCCTCTAAAACAACGTTGTATTTTTTCAATTCTACTTCTCAAGTGCAAAGAAAAGACCATTTTCATTTGGATTCCTTTAGAGCTCTTAATGATTTCTTATATTCCAGAAGATGGGGAAAGTGCCATTAAAAAGCAGAAACATCTAGTATTCTTAGCCCTCAAAATGCCAACAGTTTGCTAGTCATGATATGCACATTGTCTTGAGGCGGTTGAGTCAGTCTCCAGAGGTCACATTCAAGGCTATGTTACTGTTCCAGCTAGCATTACACACACACACACACACACACACACACACACACACACAACTATGCACAGGAGGTGAGTAGACGACCTGGGTGTTGTCCCACACAGAGGCAGAAGTGTGGACTAGCTGGCATCGCAGCCACACAACCCTTGAATCCTAAGGTGAGCTATGTGGAAACCATTGGGAAATCAGGTATCTTGTCCTGACCTCTCCCAATTGCTAAGCCTTCTGGAACAACTGAGGAGGAGACTAAAATAAAATCATGTGAGACAGGGAAAAATTTCACAAGGTCACGTGGACACTCATACCTCAATTTTGCCTCAGACTTCAGGTTCCAATGGGATGAACCAAGGTTAGAAGTATCTGTTTCTTAACTTACATAATCAATGAAGATGTGAGTGAGAGGATTAAACATCACCAAGTAGCTACAGGATGAATGTGTTAAAATACTGCAGATAAAAACAAAAACTCTAAGAAAGGTTGTTAAGGATTTCATTGTGACTACATTAAACATCGTGGATAAAAAATCAAAATGTGGAACTAAGCTGCATTATCACAGAAGTTAAAGTTTGTGGCTTATAATTTAGAGAAAATCATAATCAAAGAACAAAAATTGACATTATTCACCTAAGAACAAATTTGAAAGCAGCTGGGAAAAGCTTCAGACAAAGTAACACTAAGGGCTCCACATTGTAAGATTCTCCTTGTGTTAACTGGTATACAGTCCTGAACAAGTCTTAGCTGCCGACTCTGTGGTAGTTATCATTGGGAGGGTTAGGGTCTTCTATGCTTCTGATGCTGCAACACAGCAAATGGAAGATCAAGGGGCTTTAGGGGCTGTATTTTGAGTTAGAACTTTGAGAATTTATAAATACTAGATGTATTTGAAAGAGAATATGATATTCAAACATGTAGGCAGAATATAGATACACATAATTAGATGATATGAGGTAGAGAAGCACACATCTCTCTATATGAAACTATACATAAATAAATACTCATATTACTCTATTGTATTTTATTTGTGCTCAACATGCTCATGTGTCTCAGGTGCATTTTATTTCCAAGGACTGAGACTTCCAGAGCCCACCAGCATTTAAGAAGAGATTTTGCCAATTTAGTCTGTATTTTCTTCGTATTGACGCTTTTATCTCTTTGAATTTGCTTAATCTCAATGATTCTCTAGAAACATATTATTACATAATGAATAACAACTATTTTTATTAAATACTGAAAATAAAAATATTCAAAATAATCGTTCCTCTATAGTCTATAGACATGTAGAATATGAATGAAAATCAGAGGCACACAGAGAAGACAGAGTGCTAATGACCACAGAAACACATTTTTGTGAACTACTAATCAATGATTTTATTTAAAATAACCCACCTTCTTTAAGTCAGGGGCATAGCCTTCTAATGCTTTAACTCACACGAAGATGTAGACTAATTCTGTTTTTCTATTTCTAATAGGTGAAGAACATGATTCCCTCTACGTCATGTGAACCCTTTTCCTGATTTTCTTCTTAATAACAAGCCATCTGACCTCTCTAGTAACAGCACACTGGTTCCTAGAGAGGGATATGCTGGCTGCTAAAGAGTTTCCAGAAACTGTGAAATGGTAAAGACAAGAGTAGCACATTCCTAAAGCAGGATTACTTGTAAATTCAAGAACTATCCAATATAAAGTTATATGCCAAACAAATTAAAAAACAGACCAAGTGAGGACACCCACTTTCTCTGGTCACAACAATTGAATTTTTATAATTAATGAATAATATATTTCAAGTCTTGGATTTACTTGGGAAATTTTTATACATATCATTAATTGTACATCCCTATATACTTTGTTTTAAAAGATTACATTTTTATTTTTAAGGATGTGCATGTGTGTGTATGTTTGTGTGCGTGTGTGTGTGTGCGAGCGCGCATCTGTCTTTGTACCTTGGAGGTAAGAAGAGGGTGTTAGAGGCCCTCAAGATAGAGTTCCAGGGGCTGTGAGCAGTCCAGTGTAGATGTTGGGAACCAAACTCGGATCCTGTACAAGAGCAGTGTGCATTCTTCACTGAGGAGCATCTCTCCATTTCTGTCTCTAGAGCAGTATACTCACCCTGTATTTAGCAATTTGAACATATGTCTGCTGTAAGCTATGTACCATGATGCTCTATTTCAGTGAGCCACATTTTTACTGATCCAATATTTCATTCATTTTTATAATATTCTATAAATATTCTTCTTAACATTCCACTGTAATAGTTCAATGGAAAATGAAGCAGGAAAGGTAGACTTTCAGAACAATACCTCAGCATAACTTGATACTGAACCAGATGCATTATGCACCTTTTAATAATGTTGGCATCTAAATTGTACCCATACAGGCACAGTTGGGAACTACATGAATGGAAGCTGACATTCAAGGTTTTATTATGTCAATTAGGATATTAGCTGCAGATATCACATGAAGAACCAGGAGAAAAGGAGGAAGCGAGAGGTATGACTGGTTCCCAATGCAGGTACTCTGTGGGTGTGCCAGGTTTAAGGATCCAGGAATCTACTTCCTCCCTTCATGCCTAAACCATGTCCTAAGATAGATGCGGCATGCCTTGGCCCCATGGAGGAAGGCTGTTGGGATCATTTGGTCATCACCAGTCACATAACAATGTGGGTGTCACGAGGCAGAGCCACCCCTATTCACACACTCTCTGACAGGCTGAGACAGAGCCCAGGATCAGAATAAAAGGGCTGAGGAATAGGGTACTTCCATCACTCACCTCCTGAGATACCCACAGACCGTGAGCTGCCTCTCAACTTGGTAAGTGTCCATGGGAGGCAAAAGCAGAGACTTTTCCAGAGGGGTTGCCAGACTAGAGTTGGACAGGAGTCTGGGAGGGGTCTCCACACCTAGAGGACATTGATAGATCATAAAACATAGTGAAGAGTGATGGGCGAGGAAATGGGGTCATGAACACACACAAGCTACAGCTCTGAAAGACTGCAATTCTTGGATCATTCTGACTCTGGAGAGGATGATGTACCTTCACTGTTAGGACCCCTCGGGATGGGACACTGAGCGCAGAGACCTGAGCATCTGGACAGGCTCAGGGGAGAGTTAGCCTGTGAAGAAAATGCTTCCACTAACTCCTGAGAAGAACTGGTTCACGAAAGGTCAACAGAGTCTCACTTAGGCTTGGGAAAGAAATAGAGCCATAGTTCTGGGATCTGTTCACACCCTTCTCTGATCAAGAAGACACTACCTGGAAGACACTGACTTTGTCGACCTCGAGCTGTGGAGGTGGTGATTTGTACACCTCTGAACTCTGTACTCACTACAGGGTTTCATAGTCCCAAGGCAGATTTGAGTGGGTTTGCATATATATTTTTTTAGGACTGGGAGCATCAGTAATATAAAAGGTCTCAAATGCTGACTTTAAACTAAAATCACCTTCAAGTAGTGATTACTCTTTGCTTTTCAATTACTTTTCTTTGAAATAATCTGTATACTGGCACTCGTGTGAGGACTAAGACCAATACACATTTTCAGTTGTCACTAGATAATCATTCAGAGCTTCTGGATACTGGGTGACAATGAGTATCTTATTGCATGGGTTTCTGAGGTTCTGAATTCATTATGAACATATTGTGACATTGTAGGTTATAAAAGAAAGGACTATGAATGGTTGCTTTGGGGCTTATAGGGAAAATTCAGGTAGCAAGAATGTTTCAGTGTCTGGTGTCTGACATGTTTGTGATTCTCTTGCAGCTCCTGAACCCCCACAGCCGAGATGTCCTGCCAGCAGAGCCAGCAGCAGTGCCAGCCCCCTCCCAAGTGCACCCCCAAGTGCCCTCCCAAGTGCCAGACACCAAAGTGTCCCCCAAAGTGTCCTCCTAAATGTCCCCCTAAGTGCCCTCCTGTCTCTTCCTGCTGCAGTCTGGGTTCTGGGGGCTGCTGTGGTTCCAGTTCTGGGGGCTGCTGTGGTTCAAGCTCCGGAGGCTGCTGCAGCTCTGGCGGTGGTGGCTGCTGTCTGAGCCACCACAGGCCCCGCAGATCTCTTCGTCGCAGACACCAGAGCTCTGGATGCTGTAGCAGTGGTGGCAGCAGTGGCTGCTGTGGCAGCAGTGGATGCTGTAGCAGTGGTGGGAGCAGTGGATGCTGTGGCAGCAGTGGTGGCAGCAGCTGTGGCAGTAGCCAGCAGTCTGGTGGTTGTTGCTAAGCTGGTGAGGAAGACTTGACCAAGTGTTGCAGGAAGCAGACTGGTCCAGGCTTGCTGCCCTCTCCTCCTGCTTCGTTCCTTGGGCTTTGCTCTGAGATGCTGACATCTGTGAAAGGTTCTGCATTCCACTCACCAGATAACAGTGCCCCTTTGTCTCTCCGTTACAAATAAAAAAGCCTTGGCGACGAGTCCTGACAAGACTCTTGTTCATTTCTCAGCATTGTCCTCATCCCGTCCCTTAGTCATCTTTTTTCTACTCTCAGAGAGTTGCCCTCTGACCTCTTTAATTATGTGTGTGTTTCCCATAACTTTGTAACAACTCTTCTACTGTATCTGAAAGAACTACAATGGTGTTTTTATTTGTAATCTGATGTGAGGACTTAGAAATGGCAGTCACTTCTCACAGTTTTAAAACCTGAAAAAAACTCATTGTCAATGGACTTGAAGGTCAATGTTCACTGTTAGACACTTACTTGAAGGACAAAAATCAATACTCAGATTAATTGAGGACAAAGAGCACATTCATCGGCCAGTCTTTTCTCTTCACAACTGTGTTTTTCTTCCTCTGTTATAAACAAAGTTTTGAAGAAGACCTACAGAAATTCTCAATGTTTCCATCCCTTTATTTTGCTGCTGTAGCTGAGTTGTTACAGTGTGGGAACTTCTGCCCAGCTGACCACCGCAATGGTCTCCCTCCTTCCCTTCTGCTGGTGGCTGCGTAAATCTTGACATTGAGGAGATCAGTGCTGATGAGTAGATGGTTTGGCAATCTTTGTCTGTGCCTGCCCCATCTTCTGTGATCTGTTTTCAGATCAAGTCAGTGCAGTTGCACTAAGACAATGGTTTCACTGAACTGTGGACACCCTCAGGTCTCTAACTCTGCCCCCTCCCCCGTCCTTAGCAGGAAACAGGCTTTGTTGTCATTTTCCCAGTGTCACTTCACACTCAAGCGGCACCCAAATGCAGTCTTTCGTCCTTCAGCCTTCTGTTTTAAGTTTACATACACATGTGTAATAATATAAAAATGTCCTAAATCATTTAAATCACAGTGTTATACATAATTTAAACACAATGAAATTCATTATTTAAATAGAAAGTTGAATTACCCTTCCACTATAATTTAGAGTTATATGCCATAAAAAGTAATATTGTTTACATTGTGAATATTGTGAGAACTTGTCATTTAATATTTGAGCAATTTATAAAAGAGAATAGTCCTCCTAGAACATACAAATGAAACTGCAGCTGAACATAATTTCAATAAAATTAATTATATGTTATAGAAAGCACCATTGAGCCGGGTGGTGGTGGCGCACACCTTTAATCCCAGCACTCGGGAGGCAGAGGCAGGCGGATCTCTGTGAGTTCGAGACCAGCCTGGTCTACAAGACAGGCTCCAAACCTACAGAGAAACCCTGTCTCGAAAAACCAAAAAAAAAAAAAAAAAAAAAAAGAAAGCACCATTGAACTGATAGAAGATATCAATTTAGAAAAGTATGATGCAAATTACACATTTCTACACATTCACAGGTATTTCAATCTAAACTCCAGAAGTGATTTTAAAAAATGCGCAAGATTTTCCTTCTGTGTTTGATGAGTCTAGCTTCATGTTATGGTTGGGTTCATATATTCAACTGCAAATGACTTGATTTTTGTTAGGACTGAATACAATTTCATTGATTATGCACATCACAGTTTCATTGGCCACACTGATGGTCATCTAGGCTGGTTCTATATGGTGGCTGTTACCAATAATTCAGTGAGAACCAACAGTAGGTAGAAGAAGGAGAAGAATTACAGCTCAAAGGCCCAGAAAATATATTCAACAAAATTATAGAAGAAAACTTTCCCACCCTAAAGAATATTCCTATGAAGGTACAAGAAGCATACAGAACACCAAAAAGACTGGATCAAAAAAAAATCCCCTTGCCATATAATAATCAAAACACAAAACATAAGAATAAAGAAAGAATATTAAGAGCTGCAACGGAAAAAGGTCAAGTAGCATATAAAAGTAAACCTATCAGAATTACACCTGACTTCTCTATAGAAACCATAAAGCCAGAAGGTATTGGATAGATGTGCTGAAGAAACTAAGAGACCATGGATGCAAGCTCAGACTACTATACCCAGCCAAGTTTTCTTTCACTATCAATGGAGAAAACAAGATATTCCAGGATAAAAACAAATTTAAACAATACGTAGCCACAAACCTAGCCTTACAGAAAGTAATAGAAGGAAAATCACAACCCAAGGAACCCAACAACACTCACAATAACTCAGACATCTAACAATCCTCCACAAGCACAATCCAGAGAAGGGAAACACACAAACTCTATCACCAAAAAAAAAAAATGGAGTTAACAACCACTGGTCATTAATATCACTTAATATCAATGGTCTCAATTCACCTATAAAAAGGCACAAGTTAAGAGAATGGATGCGAAAACAGAATCCAACATTCTGCTGTTTACAAGAAACACACCTCAACCACAAAGACAGACATTTACTCAGAGTAAAGGGTTGGGAAAAGGTTTTTCAATCAAATGGACCTAAGAAACAAGCGGGTGTGGCTATACTAATATCTAACAAAATTGACTTCAAACTACAATCAATCAGAAGAGATGGAGATGGACACTTATACTCATAACAGGAACAATTCATCAGGATGAAGTCTCAATCCTAAATATCTATGCCCCTAATATAAAAGCACTCACATATATAAAAGAAACATTACTAGAACTCAAAGCACATATCAAACCCCACACACTAATAGTAGGAGACTTCAACATACCTCTCTCACCCATGGGCAGGTCAACCAGACAGAAACCTAACAGAAAAATAAGAGAACTAATGGAGGTAATGAATCAAATGGACTTAACAGACATCTGTAGAACATTCCACCCAAATAGGAAAGAATATACCTTCTTCTCAGCATCTTATGGAACTTTCTTGAAAATTGATCACATACTCAGTAACAAAGCAAACTTCCACAGATACAAAATTAAAATTTAGTAACCACTTGTGTCTTATCAGATCACCATGGAATAAAGTTAGAATTTAACAACAATTCTACCCCCAGAAAGCCTACAAACTCATGGAAACTGAACAGTCAACTACTGAACCACCCTTGGGTCAGGGAAGAAATAAAGAGACTTATACTTTAAAAAAGAAACATGGAATTTACAGTAGTATATGACCCAGTTAGACCACTCCTGGGCATACACCCAAAGGATTCAATAGTGTATTGCAGAGATAATTGAACATCCATACTCATCGCTGCTCTTTTCATAAGAAGTGTTAGCTAAGTGTTTTGAAGCTGGGCACAAGCTGGTCATCTGGGAAAAGGAACCACAGTTGGGAAACGCCTTCACCAGATTGTCTGTAGGGCATTTTCATGACTAATGATTGATGGGAGTGGGCCCAGGCCACTGGGGGTGGTGCTACCCCTGGCAGGATGTATAAGAAAGCAAGCTGAGCAAACCATGGAAGCAAGGCAGTAGTCAGTGCACCTCCACAATTTTTGTTTCAATTTCTGCATCTTGTTCCTGACTTGAGTTCCTGCCCAGGGTTTTCTTCATGACAGAGTGTAGCTGTAAGATGAAATAAACCTTTTCCTCCCCAGGTTGTTTTGGGTCATGGTATTTATCACAGCAATGGAATCCTAATAAGGACACTAGGAAATGGAAACAGCTTAAACGTCCTTGAACTGATGAATGGATAATAAATATGAGGTGCATGCACACAATGGAAATTTACTCAACTTTGGAGAAAAATGAAATTTTCAGGAAAATGGATGGAACTAGAGACAATAGATGATAGAGGAGAACATAGGTAAGAGAGGGAGAGGAATTTAAGGAGGGGAGGGGTAGCGAAAGAATCAAAACAAAGAGTGTACAAAAAGGTCATATGGAAACCTACTATCTTATATTTAAAACTACAGAAGGGAAATTGAAAGCAATGTTATTCATAGAAACAGAGAATTTCTAAACAACATTCCCAGTACAGATACCTCTATGAGAGTCAGGGCTGGAGAGATGGCTCAGCTCAGTTAAGAGCACTGGTTGCTCTTCAAGAGGACCCAGGTTCAATTCCCAGCACCCACATGACAACTCGTAGCTGTCTGTAACTCCTGTTCTGGAGATTTGATCCTGCCTACATATTTGCAGGCAAAACACCAATGTATATAGAAAAGCTTAATTTTAGAAAAGGTTTTATTAGTCAAGGAGGCTCCAAAGGCCTCCCAAACAATGCAGGCTCTCGTCAGTCCCAGTGTTCCCCTCATAACTAGTGAGCAAATACGACCTGATTGCTGAAGACACCACAAGCTTCAGTGCAAGATGCAGAGAAAGCAAGCCAATAGGTGCAGTGCAGGCAGCAGTGGGAGAAAAGGCACCAGTGGTTTTACCCAGCTGTGAACGCTAGGAAGGTAAGAGGTGCCCACTGGTGTCATCATGGCATAACTACCACAGGAGCCAGCCAACCACACCCTAACTAGATCTGAAGCCTGCTTCACAAATGAAATCTACACCTGGTCAGAGGTCCAGTCAACAACTCATGTCTAGAGAGCTCATAGGCCCAAGAGATAACTATTACTATTGCTTGTTAAATTGTCATGGTATCAAATAGCCTTCTAAACACCTGTGTTTATACTCACAGACAACAACTACTTTCATCC